TTTTTTTATTGTCTATTGTTGCAAAGAACATTTTATTTAAATTGGTCACTGACTTAATTATTTCTATATGCAACATCTTTCTCTACGATTTGAGTGCGGTGTTGAGCACTAGTTAGTGTGTTTTAAAATATAACATCAACTTACACATCCTTTGGCTACATCATAGAACCTCTGTATTAATTGAACTGCAGTGCTCTTACCACTTCCACTTGACCCAACCAGTGCCACCGTTTGACCAACATCTATGGTCAAACTAACGCCTTTGAGAACCTAAAATGAAACCCATTATTGTTGATCAGTTGTTGCACTGTGTTGAAAGGTACTGTACTGTGCTGTTCCGAGCCGTGTCGTAACATGCCGTACCGTGCTATACTTGTCTGTGTTAGGCTATACTGTGCTCTGCTCAGCAGCGCAGCGCAGCGCGGCGCGGCGCGATACAACACGGCACGGTACTGCACATCACTGCACTGTTTACCTTTACATCTGCTCGAGATGGATATTCAAATTCTACGTCTTCAAGTCGTACATTTCCTGATATGTTTGGAGTCGTACCGCCTTTACTGCTACTATCAATAAAAGGTATCTGAAATAGACGAAGAAAATTTATGATCATTTACCAAAAATACGTTTACATAATTAGATAATTTGCATTCGTGTAATTCAAATATGATTAAACAAAAAATCATGCTCACTAAATCGATTATGTCCCATATAGTTCTTGCAGCACCACGTGCAGTGGACATATCACCGATGGCTGGAGCAGCGTTACCCAGTGAAAACGCCCCCATTAGTACCGAGAAGAAAACCTGAAAAATAGTACAGATAAATAAACTACATATGCAAAATATCAATTGTGATGACAGTGTGTCATGTGACACGTGTACTCTCCGTTCATTTGCTAGTTTAAATTCATTTGGCGTCATTTTAAGTCAACGGTCAATAGGTGAGCGTGCGACCATCGCTCAATGTTTCGTTGTAGATCATAGAATTTATGATTTTATTTGAATTATTGAAGTTTCATAGACATTGTGAAAGTAAGCAGTACCATAACAAGTCAATGGACTTACAATTAATACCGTTCCAACTGTATATTTTTCATTTGTGATCACAAGGTTTGCTCCGACCCTGAAGAAAATTACAAAAAAATAGAAATTGATTACACCCGTCGTGCTGTTTCTCTTTGGAAACATTATGAAGAGTTATCATTCTAGTGGTTGCAATCAAAATTAAGATATATTGTTAAAAAAATCAGGTTGCCTATTAAACGCGGAACCGGTTCCGCTTATGCGCTTATGCGAACGCGCACGCTCGAAATGTACGACTCTTCATTGACCATGTCGCAATTCCAACATTTAGTGCATTGTGGGATAGTTTCGACCGAATCAAAATCACTCTGCGCCCGCTCTTGCAACCTCAATGATTAACTATGACACACTGCACTAAAATTTGGAAATCCGGTATGGCCCCGGATCGTTTAGCGCATGCGCAGATCACGGCAAAACCGCCTCTGACGCTCTCGTCACAAACTATCGCGATTGTGATATCAACAGATAAATCATCCATGCGTACTCCATGTTGCATTCCTTTGCAGATATCCTAGCGAGATTCTGTCAAACAGAAATTTAGAAGTGCACACAAAAATTAAAAAAAATCATTGTCTGAAGTATTAATAAGATCATATTTAAAATTATTTGAAGAACGTCGGAATCAAATGTCGATAAACCTAATTAACGGCTGTCGAAAGAGCGCCACCATGTTAAGGCATGATGAAAACAAATATGCTAATGAGCTATATTCACCGAACGCCACCAACGTACGATATGATAATAATGTTGACTTACCAGAATCCTATACCATACGCAGTAAACAAGATGGTCATAGTGGCACCCATGCCAGCACCTTGAATTAAACCTTTCCTTACTCCAGAATGTTTGGCTAACTTTAGGTTCTCGCCATATCTTTGAAATAAAAAGATGCATACTTTAATCTCGCTTGCAACACATGTTAAAGGGCGGAATTAGAATTAGAATTTCATGGAAACGAACAATGTATTTTACATGCGTTTTGTACGTTTTAAACAGGACGCGGCGCGGCGCGACAACCATCGCCCTTTAACAAGTATATTGAATGTACACACGATGCGTTCAAAACGTGTTAATTTGATTTCTTCTTGAGAAAAGCTAAATGATCAATCGTGATTGACTTATCAACAATAACTGAAAATAATTAGAACGGGTTTTAAACTGTTCAATCAAAATGTAGCGCTACAGATCAGAAAACTCAAGTAGCTGTCTTACGATCAGTGTTGAAATTGCATAAACAAACCACAATATAAGTGTGTTAATGTTGGCGCAACCAAGTGGCAACAAGGCGACATTTGTCCGTAATAATAACGTTGTATACAAAATGTGCCCGGAGCAAAGTGTATTGACGTCATGTGACGTAGGTTGACGGACAGATTAACTACCAAGTTTTTTGCATATAATTAACATAATAATATAACGCCGGTGTGAGTATATCGCCAATTTAAGGCAGAGTTCGCAAGGGGTATTTTGACCAATCACAAAGACATTCTCAAGATGTTGATTCCAATATATCATCTACGTAGATTGCATCGCAGTCGCGTTTTGTGCTTGACTCATACCTCTCGGCTTCCTTCGGTTCTCCCCCAAATGCTGCCACTGTACGAATCGCCGATAAAACTTCTTCAGCCACGGCACCAGCCTTCGCATATGCATCCAATTCTAAATTCGTGGCTCTGGTCATCAACTGGAAACAGTGCAAACAGAAATTGGGTTATTAAAGTGTTCCTCATTGGCTGGAGATTCGCCTACCTTAGCGCGTGTTCGAATTTTATGTAAACAAACAATGTATTTCACGCGCGTTGTATACGTCGCTATGAGTCCCATATCGAACAGGACGCGGCACGACGACTGCCGCCCTTTAACAATCAGAGAACGCCATCATCATTGTTTAATATACACACCAATTACCATGTAGTTGTTAGTGTATACTCACTCTGACCATTATGGAGGCACATACTGCCAAAAATGGTGTTACACAGAGTAACACTAACGTCAACTCCCATCCGTAGACCAAACCAACTATAAAACCAGCTACGAATGTTGAGAAAAACTGTACAAAGTGACCAAGTTTGTCGCCGATACCGCCTTTGATCTTGTTAACATCACTGAAAAAAACCCCACAAATTTCCACACATGAATTCACTAATGAATGATGACTAATGAAAAATGAATTCACTAACAATAAGTGTTATTTTGAAGATCTCCTGATTGCACAACTTTTCATTGTTTTCTCGATATGCCAGAAAGCTGAGAACAAGCATAATATCACGAATACACACTTACTCATTTAATCTGGTTGTCACTTCACCACTCGGATGGGTATCGAACCACTTGATCTCCTGCTTCATTACAGAATGGAAACATAATGTTCGCATGCGATAAGCTTGTCGCTCTGCCGTGGCAACTAAGCAAGAGATTTGGAAATATGCGGCGACAAACGCAGCGACACCAAAAACACATAACATTACTGCGTAGACATCCATCTCATGAAGAAATGCATCCAACGCCTCGCTAAGATTGGGAGGAAAAAAAGTTGGTCTCAGGTCACATGACAATATTCATTAGTTCA